CTGGCACTAGAAGCACCGGTAATATGTATATATATAGATACATATTGTCACATAACTACAAACTAAGAGCGCACTTTGCGAAACAAAGAATAAAAACAAAAAACGGGCACATTGCAAAAAGAAAAAGAAAAAGAAAAAGAAAAAGCAAGGGCAGATTGAAACCATTAAATTTCTCATTCTTCTTTGAACTCCACCTCCACTGTGCCTCTCACATGCAAGGCTCGCCACGTTGATGAAGTTGAGCACGAGCTGCCCCCATCCCCGTATGCCGCGTCCGTGGCCACAAAATGGACATATAGTGTCCGGATGAGGAGGGTGCCTGCAGTCAGGAACGGAGGGACAATCCTGTACACACATGGATGCACAAACCATCTCATGGTAGTGATTGTGACAAAGATTATGGCGAGTACACCCAAGTGCAACAGTGTCTGTGGCTGTACAAAGGAGAAGGTCACATAGTGTGTGTACATTGTACTGCTGCACTGCGGTGGCAGAGGAATGATCTTCGACATAAAGGAGATTGCGGACAGTTTGATGTGCCAAGAGAACAGCATCATAGAGTAAGAAATCAGTAATATCAATCATGGCATGGACCATGACACCGTCGTTCCACACCTCCCAATGGTCAGAGGCGTGTACAATAGCCACGTAATGGCCAGGCCCGTGCACAATGCAGGCAGAGATGTGGGATGGAGGATTAAACAACTCACCTGGTAGAGCATGGCGTAGTTCAAGCTGGCGGTTCCTCATCGCTATTTCTAGGACAGCAATGGTAAAACCTCCTTCCCTGGTGTAATTACGATGCTCTGGCTGTAGGTCGGGGGGCTCAGCGAGATTAGCCAGATCAACATCAAGCTGTACGGCAATTGCAAGGAAATCTGATGGTGTATACAACGGCCAATTGAAAATGTGAAGGCAGCTATTAGTTGCAGTCAGACCACAGAGATTGGCGGGGATCTCAGGCTGGTTTGGTTGGTCAGTCATTTGTAGATCACCCGTGGGGTCTGCGCAGGGTGGTGCACAAGTATGCGGTTCATCCATATGATCCTGGTCAGCCATTTGCAAATCCCTCATGGGGTCTGCGCCATGTGGGATTAAATGCAGTCCAAACAAATCATGTTCCAGTCCCTCAGCGTTCGGGGCCACACCGGGTGGGGCACAAGTATGCGGTTCATCCATATGATCCTCGTCAGCCATTTGCAAATCCCCCGTGTGGTCTATGCCTTGCGGGGTTAAATGCAGTCTGAGCTGATCATGTTCCAGGCCCTCAGCGTTCGGGGCCGCATGTTATACAGCTGAGGGACAAACGAACATGGAAGGGCATAAAACATGGTGCTGTGGCTGTGTGCAAGCAGCTGGACTGTCTGCAGGAGGCATAGGAGCGGATGTATCTGTTTGGGACAACGGAACCGCAACAACCCGTGGAGGAGGCACAGAGAGAATTGGGGTAGACAAAGAAGCAGGCCGCTGATCCCTGGCCAAGTGGCGATGTTGTGCATGTCATCGATGATGACACACAATAAGAGGAGTGGCGATGTTTCTAACAGAAGATGAGGATGTCACTGGCAATGAAGGCGGAACAATGGGAAGAATAGAAACCAGAGAATCGGTTCTCAAATGAGACCGTGGAGGAGATGGGGGTGGCGAGGAGGAACGCAACCGTCTGCGGCCAAGCACAGAAAGGGATGAAAGGGGGGTGGATTGGGCAGGATGTCGGAACATAGGACGCGAGTGTCGGGCTGGGGTAGAGAAAGCTATACCAGTAAAAACTATAGCATGAGAAATTCGAGCTACAGAAGCAGAGGAAGTGGTATATATATCGTCACAAATAGAACTGCCCGGTAAAC